AGTGCTGCGTCGTCACAGCAGCCGTGTGACGCTCTGACTGAAGGCACAGTGCTGCATCGTCACAGCAGCCGTGTGACGCTCTGACGCCAGCATGTGCACATGCTAATGCAGCAGCCTCGCTGCAGGGTCACGTCAGGAAGGCTGAGAACCGCTGCTCCGCTCAGCGGTTTGGGCTCATGTTACAATGTTGTTTGAAGGTTCTTTCTGTTATTTCTGTAGCTTTTTGACTTGGTGTACAGAGAAGAGACCCTGCTGAACGTCATCAAGAGCGTCACACGGAACGGCCGCTCCATCATCCTGACGGCGGTCTTGGCTCTCATCCTGGTCTACCTGTTCTCCATCGTCGGCTTCCTTTTCCTAAAGGATGACTTCACCATGCAGGTGGACAGACTGAAGAGCAGAGCTCCACCCCCAGGTAGCTGGCGCACCCTTCAGGCTTGCCCTCTGGCCAGTCTCCCTGGCATACACGTTGGTGGCAGGATTTCAGACAGACAGATCGATAAAATTTGCCTTCACTCTCTTGTTTACCACTGCTGTGGTTTGAGGGCAGAATGTCCTCCCGGCACCGTTGGAGGCGTGGAGCCTGGCTGGAGGAAGTGATTGCCTGCGGCAGCCTGGGCTCACTTCCTCTCTGCTCAGCTTCCTGACACAGTGTGGCCGTTCGCCTCTCTGTGGCCCCAGCTGCTGTGTGAGTCTGTATCTCTGAGCCGTTAGCCAAAATAAACTGTTCGTTTCTTCCTCGTTGCTTGCTGTTAGGCATTTGAGCCTAGCAGTAAGTAAAGTAAGTAACACACCATCTAAGAGCCAAGAAGGTCTTGTACTTTAGCCTGTGTGCTGCCAGTGTGGGCCGAGAATACAGCCATCTGCACACTGTCCTCAGGCTTTGTGGCGGGCAGCCGTGGCATGACTGCAGGCAGTCTGAGGAGTCTTTTCTTCCTCCTTCCATTTCCCCAAAGAGCAGCATCCAGCACCATCAAGCTACAACTCAGCCTATTCCACATGCATGGCGCTATGTCCAGATAACTTAAGTGATAATGCTTTGATTTGGAAACCACCAGGTGACAAGAGGTGTGTTTCGGAAGATGAGCAATAGAGGCCGTGGTTAAAAGACCCCATTCCTCAGGGTGACTCCAGAGTCCCTGAGGACCCCATTCCTCAGGGTGACCCCAGAGGCCACTGGATCACTTAGGCGTCACATGACCCAGTGTTCTTACTGAGGCGCTGGCAGGAGGGGCTGCCCTCTTGCCTGCTTTCTTTCCTCTCATATATACCTTTTGTTGCTGGATTAAGTTTCTTGCTTTCCCTTCTCCCACCCTGCTTTGCTTGGTAGAAAGCATGGTTCGTTACTGTGCTGTTTTCTTGATTCTGCTAACTTTGGCTTACAGAGCTGTGAAGTCAAAAAAGACACCACTTTCCCTCCCCAAACCACTCACTTTAATTAGTGGAAACGTATGCCGTGTTCCTTCTTTCCTTTAACACATGATTCTTAATTACAAAATTGACAGCATGTGGTAATACCTTTCATAAGATTATGGAGTGACCAAGTGGTGTTTAGATTTATTTATTAGAGTCTAGCTGACCTGCACACGAGGCAGAAACGTCAGTGTCGCCAAGTTTAAGTTACTTCACTGGAGACATTCTTCAACTCCACTTACTAGTCCTTGTACCCAGGAGTGTGAGACACACTGTTGTTACTTCATGTGCCTTTTCCAGAGTTTCACAGGTGTGCTGTCAACTTGCCATTCACTGCACTAAAAAGGCCCGAGAAAATAACCTTAGTACAGGAAATGAGTTGTTTTCAGTGAATGGTCACTTAGTCCCATCACCTCAGCCCAAGGCAAGACAGAACTTTGTGGTTGAGCAAAGATTCTCACCCTGTGGTGGCTTTGAGGTGGAGGGAGAGAGAGGAAGGTTCCCAGTCCCCGATTTAAGGGAATGCCCCCAGGGAGCTCTCCCGCACCCTAGGTCTCACCTCAGATCCCATAGTTCCCTGTGCTGGTGGCTAGGCCTCAGTGTATGGTCTTTGAGGAGCACTGAAAATGCAAATCATAGTAGCATACTGTGTGTGCGTGTGCGTGTGCGTGTGTGTGTGTGTGTGTGTGTGTGTGTGTGTGCATAGGAAAGGCTTTTGTGTAAATTCCCGAGCTCCAGTCTGTCTAAACTCTTTAGGAATCCTTTATCCTCAGCACTCGGCCCAGCTTCAAATGTTAGTTCCTTGCTGGATCAGAGGCCCGGCCACAATTTGTTCTATAGAGAGAACACGTAAAACAGAAGCATCACAACTTCCAAAACAAACATATACCGTCTTTTTAAATTGTTCTTCGAGAAGAACCCCTTTGTGCTATGTTATGAGTGTACATTTTTTAGAAATAGAAAAAATACAACATAAGAAAACACTGGAGCTAAAATTTCAAGCTTTTTCTTTACTGGAATTGCAAATGCATGTTTGACAGAAACCAGTCAAAGGAAGCTTTGTAAGCACTGGAAGGGCAGCACATGGGGACAGCTAGCAGACTCAAACCCCTGGCTCTTCGTGGCTTGAAAATAGTTGTTTCACAGCCGAAGAGCCTAGAAAAAGCACGTTTGTTTCCATACTTTAAATTCCATATCTGACACCATCTGTGGTGAGCCTGCGGTCTGGTGCTGTAACAGCTTGCTGGAGACTTTGTGGTTTATAAAGAACAGAGGTTCATCTTGTTGATGGTTCCAGAGGCTGGGGGAATCTGAGAGCATGGTGCTTTAGTTTGCTTGGCATGTGAAGAGACTGTTCTGACAGATGACAGCTTAGAGGACCTCTCTGTGAGCAGAGGCCAGCTAGGCTTTATGCTTAGCCCAAAGATGAGCCAGTAGTCATGAGTGCCGGAACCCGCGGGTGAGAAGAGAGCCCAGCGTCTGCTCACCCCTGGAAGGTGCCCTGGTTCCACCTCCCAGCACTTCACAGCGAGGCTCCAATTTCAGTCTGTGTTGTGTAGTGTCTGCACCACACAGGATCTCAGGTGGCATATGGCATCTTCAGGCTTTGTGTTTTGGACACTGTCACTTACAAAGCTGGCCATGGGTGAAACTACTGAGGCTAGCGCACTTGGGTGGTGAGTGACATTTGGGTGGCAGACGGTTCTTCAGCAAGGGTGGCAGGAGCAGGTGGGGAGTGAGTCGGAGCTGGGCAGTGACTGCATCGAGGGGTTGAGGGGAACGGAAGACACGTGCCTTGCACATGTATTCTGCCTCTGGGCCCAAGATCTGCTGCTGCCACCCCACCATGGTCGGGGCAGTGTCAAAGACAAGCACGAGGAAGGGTGGCCCCTTGGCAGGTGGAGGACACAGTGCCCTTCACACTCGCCCTTCCCCCTCATCCCCACCCACCCAGATATGAGAGAACTTGCTGCCCTCAGGCCTCCTGCCCACCCAGACACAGCTCCGATTCTCTGCAAGGATCTGCACCATCTGTGGGCTGGACAAGAGGCTGCATGACTCAGCCTGCTCTGTCTTAGCTCTCCTTCGGTCCCATGACTCACCCCTCTGAGACCCCTGGGCACCCTGCTCCGTATTTGTGTCCGTAAACCCTGAGGCTCCCTCATGCATCTTCCTCCGAGTAGCCAGTTTCTTTCCCTTCTAGGATTTGCATCTTGTACTGTCCTTCTGTGTTAACCTCTGCGTTACTCCGTCTGTCAGCTCCTGTTAAGTCTCTGCCTCTTAATAGCCCGTCAGTCCTCCACAGCCTTGAACTCTGAGCTGGCAGAGCCTGGTGTGACATGCCAACTAAGGGAATGCCACCAGGGATCACTCAGAGCTCCACCTCAGCTCCATGTCCGTCCCTCCGTGACCATCTGGCTTGCACTCCCCACCCCCATCGGTGACAATGCTGTCACAGCACCTGTGTGACCATCAGCGCCTCCTAGCACGCCCACCTTCACATCTCCGACACTAGCTCACGCTCCTTACATTTCCTCCAATCCTCTCAGCTGTGAGTTGAACTTGCAGGTTGAACTTTGTAGAAAGGTCATTGTCATCTGTTCCATCTGGGCCAGACCAACCAGAGGGGAGCTGGCAGGAAGAGGGAGTCCTGGGGACTCGGGAAGAACAGGGGCCTGGGTTCTCCTTGGACTGTTTGAAGCCTTTCTCTCTGCGGATCATGCTTCATCATGAGGACTGCCCACCCTTTCCTCAGCTACAGGGCCTGGGGGCTGGAACCTGCAGACTGCTCACTGCCCTGGGAGAAAGAGGCTTGGCAGCCCAGGGCAGGACCCTGAGTGTGCCTGGCCATAGGGACAACAGTATTATTAATACTTTATCACCACCACCACAAGAAAAACACACACACACACACACACACACACACACACACACACACACACACATATTAATGGAGCTTTTTGCACATTGGTGATAAATCTATTCTCTGTTTATAGAATGGCTGTAATGGGCAGAAGTGTGCGCTCAGAGCTCCAGGCTAACTTTGCCTAGTGCAGCTCAGTGGAAGTACAAATACCTTACAGCTCAGATGCCGTGTGGCTATGTTGGTTTTCCCATGTATGTACACACCTCTGTATGATGCTCTGCTCTGTGTTTTTCCAGGCAATCATGGAGTCCCCACCATGACCCTACCTTCCATGATGGGAACCTGCCAGAGGGAAAACTGCTCCCCCACAATCCCCTCTTCAAACACAGGTATGTCATCCACAACCTGTTTTGGCCTCTCTGATGTGTACTTAGGTGTGAACATTGATCTTGGGATTTCATAATGTGTTGGAGTGAAGGACAGAAGGTAAGGGACCAGTGTAACCCAAGATAGAGAAAGGATTTCTGCATTTGTTCTTCTGAGCTGACCTGCTCCTCACAGGCTCACCCTTACCTGGCAGATTCATTGTGTGGCATGTGCTACTCCCAAACAGCAGCCCACACTTAGGGGTTCCCTTCTGACTATTGGCTTTTAAAAAGGCGTGCAGGAAAGTGTGGGTTCTTCCCCCTACAGACTTGGCTGTAACCCTGGGCTTAGCTGGGATGATGGTATGCAGGTTTCAGAACTGTGTATGGATAGCTTATTGACAGAAAAATAAATGAACAAAATCTCCCTCCTCAGGAGTGAACAGATGTATAAAAATAATTTTAGTTCTGACTTGTTGTCTTAAGCCGTAACAGGAGTCTGGGAACACGGCATGTATGCTGTTTACTAAATTATAGAAAAAATATGTTTCTTAAAGTGGGGGTGTAACTGGGATTGTGTGTGTATTTGGAGCTGAGGGCACGGCCACACTCACATTAGGCAAGGGCTCTACCCGGGAGCCACATCCAGCCCTTGTGGGCTGTAGATCCTTATGTAACTCAAAAGCTGTCATAGCTGACGAAGAGTGCAGTCAGGTAAGTGGCAAAAATAGACTCAGTAGATGAGGGACGTTAAAGACAGCGAGAGAATGCCGCAGAATGCTAGCGGTTCACATTGACGGCGCCTTCTGCCGAAGGTCCCTTTTGCCTTGGGTTGGACTGTTGGGGTCGGGGATGAAGTCTCCTTTCCACTGACTGAATATCTCATGGTTCCTGACCTAGAGAGGGAAATAAACACTGGTGTTCATTCCATCCAGTTCCCAACAGCTGTGGGCACGTCCTTTTGCCTTTCTTCCAGGTGAGGCTCACAGAAGAGCCAGCTTTGGGCTCACCTGGCATTGCTCAGGGCACACTGTCTAAGCCTGGTATGTGTGTCCATGGTTTAAGCATCTCTGATTCCTCCGGCTTGCCTCAGATCGCAGCAGAGGCTCCTGGCTTCTAGGCAAGATAATGAACACTGTTCTCTCTGTGGGTGGTGGGCCCAGTCGCCTCACACACGCTTTTTAAGGTTTAGTTTTATCTTCTGTTTATGTATATGGCACTGTGTGAGCACTTGCACAGGCCAGAGAGAGTGTCATATCCTCTTGACCTGGAGTTACAGGCAGTTGTGAACTGCCTGCTGAGCATGATGGGACCTGAACCCGGATCTTCTACACCAGCAGTGTGTGCCTCAACCCCAGAGCCATCGCTCCAGCCCAGCTCACACTCTTCACCTGCATTTGGCTGAGTCTTGGCAAAAATGTCATGCCTTGATGGTTTAACTGTTATCCCATACATACCCAGTCTGGGTTTATGAAACTGGGTGTTTGGGACCTCACAGATGAAGCCACACATTTATTTCTATGTATTTCTGCCAACCCATAATGCTAGGACGTGACGGGTTCCCCTGCAAGTATGCTGGGACCCGGTGGCTTCCAGGTTTCAGCATCCTGCTGTTCTGTTGTGCTGTGTTGGATGTAATTCTGTGCTTTCCTGTCATATCATCCAGGGCTTTGACAAGCCCTAGGTCAGAGCTCAGAGAATCCAACCCATCACTTGTCCTTACACAGCTCTTCACCATTTCTAACGTTTTGGAGCAAGAGATTTAATAGGAAGTGGGTGTGGCTCAAAGACCCAGGATCCTCACAGATTAAAAAACAATCCAGCCTCTGCTCTGGCTGTTTCCACAAGAGATGCCGGGAGCTGCAGAAGACAGCAACGAGAACCCAGGGCCTGGAAATACACTCATATGCACACGGCCACACTTTATGCAATTCTTCAGCTACTCAGAAGTATACCATGAATGGCTAGGTCAGCAAAGCACTTGATGGGCGAGCCTGAAGTCATGACTTCTATTCCCAGAACACATGTACACATGCATGCACACTCAACACACACACATACACACACATACATACACACACACACACACACTCACTCACACACACACAGGCACACGGAAGTAAATAAACTCCTCCAGTCTACGTCTCTCTAAGCCATGTCAGCAGCCCTGGAGTGCAGTGCCGCCCACCCCTAGTTCGAGATCCGCCTGGGCCGTCCAGGACCCACCCGAGCATCCTCTGTTAGCGTCAGGTCATTTGTCAGCAGCGTTCAGTGTGTGTCTCCATCTCAAGCGTCTGCCTACAGACGGCCCTTCCCTTCCTAAGGATAGTAGGCACAGCTCTGCACCCTAGTGCGCCCCCCCCCCAAGTGTCTGTCCTTTGCGTACAACAGAGGGAGGAATGGGGAGTGGGGATTTTGTAGAGAATGCTGCCGGGGTAGGGAGGAGAGGTGTTGGGGACAGTACTGGGGCGGGGGGGGGGGGGGGGCAGCTGTCCCACTCAGGCCGTCCCTGTCAGACTTGAAGGCCCTGACTGACCACATCAAGGCCCTGATAGACTTGACATTCAAGTGTTAGAACTGATCTGGATGACGTTCCTCTGGGAAGGCTATGAATTTCACTTTTGGTTTTATAATTTAAGTTTTAATTTTTTAATGTAGGCTGTTGCTATTTAGCCCTGATTGTACTGAAACTCCCTATGTGGACCAGGCTGGCCTTCAGCTCAGAGATCCACCTTCCTCTGCCTCCTGAGTGCTGGGATTAAAGGTAGATGCCACCACGGCCAGTGGATTTTCCCTGAGCCTAACTCCCTCTAACTGTTGCCTGTATGAGTAATTTCAGCAATTTGTTTATGTGGATCTGATCTCCAGGGCCTTATTTTCTCTAAAATTTGGCAGAATGTGTTTAGCTGTGGTTATTTGATTGAAAAGCCTGTGGGTGTGACCCTCTGGGCTTCTGGAAGCATCTGCTGTCTGTGTTTAGCGGAAGTCTGGCGTTTGTTGTGCAAACGCGTGTCACTTAGACTTAAAAATAGCTTTTCTTTGTGTAGGGCCAGGACACAATTCTGGTTCGTGAACTGTGGTTTGCATTTGCAGCAGTTCTAACTTCTGAACCATGCGCATTTGCAAAGGCCTTGCTGTGCTGGCTGTGGCCACCAGGTGGAGAGTACCTGGGTGGGAGGCCGGGGTTGGCAGACAGAGCGCAGCGCAGAAAGCTCCCGAAGATGCGGGTTGGGTCATTTTCCCAGTAGCAGAGAATTCATGCAACAACTGGTGACTAATTCAACTTGCAAAGCACTCCAAAACTCTTGTATTTCATTTGCTGCAAACCTGCTAGAATCTCAGATGAAACTGTTTTCCTAAATCCCCCAAGACTGACTTTTCTGGAAAACCCAAGCTTTCTTCAGACAATTCTAAGAGTACAATCACAGCTTTTGTCAGTCAGTGCTGTCTGAATGTTCAGGGGAATAAGAAGTTCACACATATTAAAGATCTGAAATTTTATGTAAGAAGTGGGAAATAGTAAGAGCTGGAGAGGACAGGAACTCCACAAGGAGAGCAACAGAACAAGAAAATTTGAACACAGGGAACTTCCCAGAGACTCATACTCCAACCAAGGACTATCCGTGGAGATAACCTAGAACCCTGACAATGCAGCCACTTCTGATGAGAACTGATAGACTAAGATCAGAAAGAAGGAGAGGAGGACCTCCTCTATCAGTGGACTTGGGGAGGGGCATGCGTGCAGAAAGGGGGGGAGGGTGGAACTGGGAGGGGAGGAGGGAGGGACTTATGGGGGGATACAAAATGAACAAAGTGTAATTAATAAAAGTTAAAAAAAAAGATCTGTAAGTGCCAGGTTTAGTCTCTTTGTACCCTACTTTAATAGGAAAGATTGGTGGATACCATAACGTGTCAAGCTAACACATGATGCATTCTGGATTCCCATCAGGTATCAGTTTTTTTAAATGTTTTTCTAGTTACAAACAAAATTTAGGATCAGCATTTCCAGAATGGATGGATTGTCATTACAGTTCAAGACAAAAGGGTTTGAACTGCATTGAGATTTTAATTGAGTCTCACCTCCAGGCTACTGTGTCCATAGAGCCAGAACAACGACTAATTTAATTATTAAAGATAAAAAGGGGACATCAGTAAATATGTATGTTCAAGCATGTCCAGTATTTTTAAAGATTTTTTTAAATTTATGTATTTGTGTGCTTGTGTGACTGTATGCCAGGCCAGAAGTGGCCGTTGGATTTCCTAGGGCAGAGTTTTAGGCAGCTGTGAGCCGCATAGCATGGCTTCTGGGAGCTGAACTCTGTGGGGGCAGCAAGTGCTCTTAACTGCAGACCTTCTCCACCCAGTGGCCAGGGTTTCCCTCCCTCCCTCCTTCCTTCCCTCCTTCTTTCCCTCCTTCCTTCCCTCCTTCCTTTTCTTCTTTCTTCCTTTCTTCTTTTCCTCCTTCCTTTTCTCCTTTTTCCCTTCCTTTTCTCCTTCCTTCCGTCCTTCTGTCCCTCCCTCCCTTCCTCCCTCCTTCCTTCCTATATACAAACCTGCTTCAGGTCCAGTAGATCCAGTAGGTTTCTATTTCTTTCCTCAAATTAAACCTCTCTTTTTCAATCAAGAATTGAAGCGAACACTTGTCTGGTAGTCTGCTGAAAGTGGATAACCTCCCATCAGCCAAGTGCCAGCTTGTTACTTGTGTTACAACTGTGACTTTTTTAAGATTGAACAGCCATGGTGCCTGGGTAACTGGTAACTTCACTGAACCCTAATACGCTAAGCACTGTGCTAAGCTCAAGCGTGTGTGTGTGTTCTTGTATGTAGATGCCGGTGTGCACCTGACAGCACACTGTATGTGCAGGGAATGTCTTCGGCCTGATGTGTGGGCCAGGCGTGCCCCTCTTTTGATGCTAGTGCAGAGGCCACTGCCTTCAGGAACCTCAGCTGCCGCGTGTTTGCTCTTCCGCTGACCCACCTTTCTTGGGATCCATAAGGTTCCTGTAGTCTGGGACACTTACACCTTTATCTCCTTTTCCTCTCACCAAGCCCTAGTGGCGTGAAGAAAGACCTGTTTGTCACACAGGTGGCCACAAGGTGGCACTTAGGTGTGGGAGCCCTGGCTAGCTGTCACACAGTGGAACCTTCTCTTTGCGGTGTGACCCCAGTGTGCTGGCTGTTACTGAGCAGGAGAAGGCCAGTGCTGGCGCTCTCCTGACTTGAGCATCCTTCCACGGTGTGTGCCATACGGAAGCCAGACCTCGGCGTGTTTGTGTAGCCAACTTATTTTATAAAGTTTTATTCACCCAATCTTTACATTTCAAAAACGCAAGGAGCCTCGCCAGGCCTCTCCTTGCTTGGTTCCCGTTAACTGCTCAAAGCCGTAGGTGTCATTATGACATTTCAGCATCGGCATTTAGTGAACTCAGACATGTTCAACCCCGTTACCCGTTCTGAGCCCCCACATCACTGATAGTTCCCTTCCTGTGCCTGCACGTCTTTCTTCATGTCACACATATGAGGGGAAACGTGATTCCTGTCTCTGTGACAAATGATGTAATTTGGTTCTTGTTTAGGAGTGAATGAAACTGCTCTGTCTACACAGCACACTTCCTTTGTTGGGCCTGTGTCCCTCGACACGCACTGGTCATTGCTTCGACTGAAAGTCCAACTTTTGCAAAGCAGCAGCAGCTACATACTGTATGGCCATCTTCCTGGGGCCCAGTAACTTTCTGTGGCAGTCACTCTTGCCTCTTTCCCTTTTCTGTCACCACCACAAGGCTGCCCCAGTCCTCATTGCTCCTTCGTCCCCACAACCTCTGCCTGCCTCCTCTGCTCTGCTTCATGTGTGCTGTCTCAGCAGGCAGCCCTCCTGGCCAGGGTTTCAGCATTCTTACAGGGAGTAGCTTGGACTCATGTAAAAGCAACTGGGTCCTTCTTCCATCTTCCATAAGGAATAAAATAAAATGTGTCCAGAGGAGAGACGTCAGCCTTCCCCAGCAATGCGCCACAGCAGTGGCAGTGGCGGCGGCTCCAGTGGTGGCCTTAACAGTGTTGCCTTGACCTGCAGACTGGAGCAGGGGCCCAGAGGCTGACCCTGAGGTGAGGCTCTGTAACTTTGTAAGGAGCCTTGGCCTTTCTACTCATTTCTAAGGTGAGAGAGTCCTGGTCCTCATGCCTAGCTGAGGACAATCCCTGTCTTAAATGGGTTGTTTATTGGCTGCCTCTCTCAACATCCGGTCAAGTCTCAGGACTTCTCTGGTACACTGTATCTTCTCCTCTCTCTTACTTCCCAAAGGGGACCTCATCTCCAGTCCCAGGTGGTTCCTCAAACCATGAAACTAACTTCAAATAATGACAAAACCGTGGCTGCCCCAGTCAGAAGCTCCTACCATATAGGAAGCTTTAACGTTCCTTACCCAGTCTCTGGCCAACCCTCAGATCCACAAGTTTCCTCATCTGCCAAGGTCAGAGACTTGCCCAGTCCCGATTCTGGAACAGGCCTGCCCTGCCTCTGGCCAGTTCACTCCTCTGCAGGACTTTCCTTGCTGGGTGGAAAGCTGCACTCACCACAGCCCCTCCACAGCTGGGCGCAGAGGTTTAAGCTTGCCACACTCTGCCTTTCTATCCTGTCATTCCCACCCAGCCAAGGAAAATGAAATCTTACGGTATTGCGTGTGTGGTCACACGTGAAGTAAATGCCACGTGACTTCAACAATTGTGTTGTAGCTCAATAGAAGCAGATTCTTGGATACAGGTAGTCGTGTTTTCAGAGTGCTCCACTGTTTGTGTTTCTGCAGCTGATGAGGGCAGCGAAGACGGCATTGAGAGGGCGTGTGACACCCTGCTCATGTGCATTGTCACCGTGCTGAACCAGGGCCTCAGGAACGGCGGTGGCGTCGGGGATGTGCTCAGACGGCCCTCGAAAGATGTGAGCAGGACAGGGTCTGCTTAAGAAGACACTGTTCTTTCCTTCCCTCCTTCCCTCTATCCCTCCCTTCTTGTCTTCCCTCCGTTCTTTCCCTCCTGTCCCTCAGACTCCCTTCCTCCCTCCCCTTCTCCCTC